AGACAACACAGCCCTCAGTGTTGTTTACTATATGTTGTAATCTCGATTCTACTATTAACCAGAGCTTGTCATGTATCCTCTACAAGACAAACGCTTTTTACTACAAAACAAGAACTATAGAGTATGGTAACTCTTATCACAAGGTAGTTGTATGATTTATCTGTGACAACTAAGCATGAGAAAGTTGGAGCGATGTCTTAGCAGTTAAGAGCATGTACTGTAGTTGAACTCCCAGCACCTACTTCCAGCATCTCACAGCTACCTCTAATCTCCAGGCAGATCCAAAACCTCTGAACTCCATACACACCAACGCTAATGTTCATATACCCATACAATACGTATAATACAAATGTTTTTAAATTAATGAATTAAAAAACAAATGAGAAAATTTGGTGATAAGGGACAAAACAACCTTTTATTTTTCACAGACCTTGGATTCATAACAACCTATTGGACATGCCATCATATAAGTTTGGGTTTTATAAAACCATACAAAGGTTTTTATTTTTTTTAAACTTGCTTGCTGTGCAAATTTGTTAACTGATAACTTTTCATTCATTCCTAGTAATAGTACCTGTAAGAGCACCTATGGAACCAGTCTTCACAGTTCTTTCAAGTTTTCTAAAATATTTTTTGTTAACTGCTTGAGTATTTGTGAAGGAGCTATTTCCATGGATTCAAATTTGCCAATCATCAGTTTCTCATTATTTTACATTTTGCCTTTAAAAAGTCTCTTGCCTCTGCATTTTCTGTATATGAATATTATTTATTATTATTATTATTATTATTATTATTATTAGAGCCCTAATAATCATGAGAACCCTAAAAAATTTTAGGGGAATTTATTATTGGTTCATTTCTATATTGATTTGTTTGTCTCATAGATGCTTTTTAAAATTCATGAACCACTATGCTAGAGTGTGGTTATTCTGGCCAAAATCTTGTATTTGAGATACTTGGAAGAATCTATGATCTTAACACATTTTCTGAACTTATTAGAGCAGCTTATTGGTAATTGAATACTGGATATGTTTTATACTTCTGAGTAAAAATCTTGGTGAGGTAATTTGTACCTATTCCCTTTACCAAATTACACTTTATAGTCATACTAGTCATTATTTGTTAAAACACTACTTTGTGGGAGGCATTACATATATATTATCTTCAATCCTTACATAATTTGTCTGTTAGATACATATTACATAACTTTAGAGATTGAAAAGTACTCAAGAGTAAGAGATAAGCTGGTGTAGAAGGACAGACTGTATTGCCACATAGTTTGGCAACATTCCTCAATTAGATACTGATGTCAGGCATGGAAAATGCTGCATTTCTCACATCTTGTGGGAGTGCAGTAGTATATATGAATTTTCTGTACCTTCTGCTCAACTTATCTATGAATCTAAAATTGTTCTAAAATCAAACTTTGTTAAATTATAAAAGCAAAGTAATCCAAATGGTGAAGAATCTTACTCTAGACCTACCGCTGCGGATATCCATAGATAATACAACTCAGGTTCAAGCTTTGGGTTTTACTTTTACACCACCACAAAAACTATACCCCAGAACACTGTACCACAGACATCTAATACTAACACTGATATGGTGGTTAACTAGAAATAGTTCTGATTAGTAGGAGAAATACAAATGTTGGCTAATTACATTTCATGCATTAGATAGAATGATTTAAAATTGCTGGGATAATAGACTCATACTGCTATATCAATATCATATCTTCCCCAATTTCGTGAACAATATTTCACTCTGGATGATAACTTGCCTTCATTAACTCCTGGTTTGTTTTGCAATTTAGTTTCACTAATTGGATTGTGTAACAATTGGCAAATGATTTGTGATTTGTGCTTGTAAGAGGAACCTGCATTTTAGGAGCTGACTGGTATAAAGCTGTTTTGCCTTAACTTTTGTGTCTTTTGAAGAAAAATTTTATTCTGTCCATGAGGAAATACAATTGTATGCATTGTATCAATTCTTCTCTATATTTTTGATCATATCCAAACTTTGTATGTAATTGTTCCTTTCCAACACCTCACTACTTGCTGGGTGGCATGTGATCTGTCTTTCTAAAGATTAAAGTCTTACATTTACATAGAATAGGATGTTCATTTCTCTGCAATTATGCATGCTAGATTTCTGCCAAGAACAAGAGAAGAATCATAATTACTAGAAGGTAAAATAGCAACTACAATGCAAACATTGTGCTGTATATACAAAAAATTCATCAGATCCTGTAATTATTTACTTCTTATAGAAAATACCAAATGCATACTTATTCCACTGAAATAAATACATCATTGTTTTCTTTTTTTAAAGAAGTAAAATCATAATGTGTTAAACATTGGGTTAAAATGGATGATGATTCACTTGTCACAGCATGCAGGGGCAACCCTACATCTTCTAAGGTCATGACTTCAATGTAATATAAAGGGTATTTTCTTCTCCCACTTTTATAAATGGAGAATGTGTCACATAAAAGCTGTCTGGGAATTCAGCCAAAGACAGAAGAGGGTTGCAGAAACTCTGGGGACTTGAAAGAAAAAGTAACTGGCATTAGCTTGGTCCTCATTTTAGACAAAAATTAAAACAATAGACATGTACAGTAATCTCTCTTTTAAGCAAAGGATAGAAGGCCTCTATAGAAGTGTCAAGTGGAACAATTTGGTACTGGCCCAAGTTATGCAGCTGTTCTACAGGAAAATGGCAAAAGGCTCCCGTCCAAAGCAGGCAAATAAGGCATGATTGTTCATAAACAGTCACTGGGGCCCTCACATTTAGAACAAGGAAAACAACATTAGCATTCTGGAGGACAGGTTACAAACATGAGTCTCTCTGCAACTTGAACCATGCTACAGTTTCATGATTTATACCAAAGATGGTGTGATTTTAACAGAAATGATACACCTCATGATGAATTGCTCATTTTTTGAGACAACATATGTTGGTCAAACTTGTGTTTTAAAAGAATAAGTAAAGATTTGGACATAATTTAAGAATGCTGTTCAGGTCATCTATAAGATGAAAATATACTTATTATTTGTTACATGTTTCCGATCCCCACTGGCTCATTAGAAGTGGATCAGGTAAAAAGGAAAGCGAATAGAAATGAACTGTCATGGGAAACAATTGAATGCTGTGCCAATAGTGTTGCCTCTCAGTGATGCCAAAATAACAAAGTGGGAACCAGGTGCAATAGCTGCAAAGTAATGGAGCGGAACTTTGGTGGTGATTACCAGAACAAATGACACAATTTCAGACTGCCCAGTGGGTACATGGGATGCCACACTCCTTATGTAGGCTCCCACTCTTTGAAATAAGTCTTGAAATATGGGCAGTCTCTTTATCAGGCTTTAATTTATTCTTTATTATGAAACTGTTTTAAATGTTTTTACTGTCCCTTTTCTGGTTTTTATGTCTAATCTTCTGGAGTGACTAATTTTCCAATTAGTGATTCTATGATTTCCCCAGAGATGAATTTCCTGATTAAACGTCTTGCATTTGCTCTCTGGTCTCTGTATAAGGAAGGCCATTCTCTCCAAGAACATGAAGAGTTCCTTCTGGGAAAGACCAAATGGTTTCCTGACAGTCTCGTGCTGTCTGCCTCATCTGACATTTTTGGGGAATATAGTATGAGCTACGAAGAGATACATGTTCAATTCTCTTTAAAGAAGTTAGTACCTTTAATTATTGGATATGATATTTTAAAATGGGGGGGGAGTGGGTGGATTTCAAGAAGACTGAGAATAAGAAAGAAGTCTAAACCAAAGAAGGAATTGTGGAAGTTGACTATATTTTTAATGGTAATGTCCTGGGAGTTCATAGAACAAAACAAAGAAACACTGGTAATAAGGCAATAATACAGGAGATTAAATAAAAAAGTTATTTGTAAAATGATAATAGCATATTCATTATAACATTGGGACCAATAAGGCTAAATGGAAAATATGAGTTTTTAAATCCATTATTGATCTATGAATATTCAAAGATACTTCATGATATTGGGGTATTTAAAAACAATATTGTCATAAATTCTTGCTGCAAATGTCAATTAAGTAGGATTTTGGCAAGTACCAGAAAAAAAAGCTTAACTAGACTAGGATGACAACTGTCACTTATCCAGAACTGGATCATTTCTCTCTCTGAAAAACTAGGGCTTCCACTCCAATTCTGAAATCACCATGAGCCTCAATCTTGAATTTCATAGCAAATATGGTCAACAGAAGCAGAAATTTAGATTCAGATGCTGAAGTAACAGATAGTAAGTAAAAGATGCTAGGCTTTGGGCAGGACTGAAGAATAAGTCCTGCCTCACCAATCTTAAACCTTTGTGAGTAAGAATTTCTTAGATTAATTTTTCTTTCCAGTAACACAAACACTCTTTTCTGTTTTACTGTTTGCAAGGTGCCATTCGTCAGCATCCTTCGAGAACAATTAGTCAGGATCTTCTGAGAAAGATACAGTTTTTCCAATGTCAAACATTCCAAGACTTTGTGTTGTTTCATAAAACATGAGAGTATTGTTCTTTGGAGTCATCCTTAATGCAAGCGTAAGTATTACACATATAAGCTTATTTCTATATAATTGAAGCCAAGAGGTTGACTTGCTGAATCATAACTGAAGGAAATGATGCATAATTCTTAAAATAACAATCCCAGAATTTTCAAAATGTATTATTCCTCTAAAAAAATGTCTCTACTATTTTGAAAGGAGAGATGGTCTGGTGTACGATATCGGACAGACTATTGCATTCCATTGGAGCAAAGTTGCCCTCATTCATTAGGTCATTTGATCATGTACCTTGTATTTGTATTCTAAATTCATACACATTCATTTTAGAGAAATCTGACACAGAAAAGAGTAAACAAAATGGAGCCTGTTCTATTGTTTGACAAGAAAAGGTTAAAATGCAGATCATCTACAGTTTCCCTGCCATTAAACACTGAAATAAGAAAGAGTGAAAATTTCCCATTCATTAAATCACTTACAGTGGTTTTCCTTTAGATTCACAGGTCAAAGTTAATGCTTGTCCTTCCTGTGGAAAAGGAGTCGATGGTATAATCTTAACTGATGGTGTATCTAGAAAAAAAGGAATAAAAATGGTCATTAAAGACACATGAAGAAATACTTTTTAATTGTAACACCCATGTTCACCATCTCTTTTTTCATATATATATATGTATATATATATGTGTGTGTGTATATGTGTGTGTGTGTCTGTGTGTATGAGACTACAACTTTCCAATCTATGTAACTTAACAAAAAATATCTGAATATCTTGGGGTACCTTTGAAATTTGAATTTAAATGTTACATTGCAAAAAAAATAATGGTGCAGATGAATATCAAGTATTTCACATAATTGTTTCTTCAACTATTTATAGATTGCTATGAATACTATTATTGTGGACTGAATGCATTCATGTACATTTGAATAACAACACTTTCATTGTCACAGGACTACCAGGGACTCACAATAAGGAACCCCAAATGAACTCCAGATAAACTACAGTCTCAGAAGCATTTTGCAGAATGCTATTGAAGAGGCAGCCCTGCAGCTCTGAGCTCATGCTGCTTTCTTTAAAGTACAGTGGACAAAGCACATCAAATAGCTACTTATAATAGTCCTGAAAGGTAACATTTGGTTTCCTCTGCAATGACATAATTGTTAAAAAGAAGTAGTAATTGTTTCTGTTTAATAAAATCAACCTTGTGGAAGAGATAGATTCAAGCAAATTCTAGGACACCCACATTTATAAATCACATGACACATGATATCTTGTAATCAGCAGGAAAGTACGTATTTCATAGAGGAAATGGAAAATAACGTATAAAGAGTAGAGGGCCAGTATAAGCACAAGGATTTTTTTATAGCCTGATTAGAACTATGTGGCCTACCTCTTTCCCTTTATCTCTATATACTGTGCAATAAACACAATAGATCTGACCTCTCAGACTGTCATTTACTTCCTCCCCTTAGGCTTGGTGGAAGAATGGAACTCATCTGACATCATATTAGTGCACTGGTTTGGAAACAAGCACAAGCAGCATTAATCAATTCTGAAATATTTAAGTTAGTTATCTTCCTTAAAGACACAGTATTGAAATTTCTCTAATACAAAAAAATCAAACTATAATTATGTACCTGTTCTTTTTTCCAATATATTTTTATTTAAATTAGAAACATGTTTGCTTCACATGTCAGTCCCAGCTGCCTCTCTCACCCCACCTCCCTTGCCCCTCCACCAGACTCCCCAGCCCCCTACCCAATCCCCACACCATTCCCCAGGGAGGGTTAGGCCCTCCATTGGGGATCTCCAGAATCTGTTATTTCATCTGGGGCATGGCATAGGTCCTCCCCCATGGGTCCAGGCTGAGATAGCATCCCTCCATGTGTAATGGGCTCCCAAAGTCCATTCATATGCTATGGTAAGCACTGATCTACTACCCAAGGCCCCAGAGATTGCTGAGGGCTTCTCACTGACACCACATTCAGGGGGTCTGGATCAGTCCCATGCTGGCCTCTCAGCCATCAGTCTGGGGTCCAAGAGCTTCCACTTGTCAGGTCAGCTGTCTTTGTGGATTTCACCAGCATGGACTTGATCCCGTTGCTCATCGCTCCTCCCTCTGTTTCACTGAGTTCCAGGAGTTCAGTTCAGTGTTTAGCTGTGGGTATCTGCCTCTGCTTCCATCAGTTGTACCTGATCTTATGTGTTGAAATTGTTTGTGTTTCAAATATATTCTTTCTTAAGCCTATAAACAGGACAATACATATGAAATAACCAAAAATAGAAGACAGATTTAGGGGAAGATAGATACTGATAATCTCAGTATATGAGAGGCGAAGACAAGCATAGAGCTGGTTCAAGGCCAGCATGAAGTATAACAGGGCTGGGAATGTATATCAGTATTGGAACAATTACCTAGCATATTACAAGACTATGGATTCAGTTTCTGTCATCATGCGAAAAGTATATATAGTAAAAAGAATAATCTGGTTACAAATACACTTCCTATGTGTAATAGTGGTAAATTATAATACTATAAAATGACCCTAGAAGAACCATTAATTTGAAAAGTATGCAAAATTCATTATACTTCTTAAATAATGTAAGAAATTTAAACATAATTTATTAATTTTTCATTAAAAAGACATTTATGGAGTAATTGGTTGACTGAGACTATAATGTATTTCAGTCACTAAACAGAGAAATGTTGATAATTATGTAGGATCTTATATGGGAACCAGGATGATTCTAGTCACTTGAGGCTGATCCTCTTTTGACCTTCAGTCTATAAATGCAGCACCATCTTTGTAAGAGAAAAATCCATTTCCAGTGGAGAGGATGGATGGCAGTCTACAGAAAAGTACAATTCTGGGAAGTAATTATCACTTGTCTGTCTGTGACAGTAATTTTGTGTTTCAGTTTGAGCATACCCTAAGGTGTCTACTGAATTTGGTCTAGTAGTATTCAAGAAATTTCTGTGACAATAATTTAGTATTAGATTAGCATTAACATTGAAAGATTTTGAAGTAGAGCAAAAAGGAACATTGGCCTTTAGACAATTGCACCCTGACTGAAGACTAACTAGTCAATGATTCTCTAGTCTGTAAATTATACATTCACTCTGTGTTTTTGGACACATCAAATTCAATGATTTCAGGGACAATTCTCTAAAATGAATCTCCTTTTACTTTTATATTTAACTAATTCTGATTTTCCAGGTGTCTCAAATCTGTACAGTGAATCAAGAAGTCCTGCTGGTTGCCTCAGTTTTCCCAGTCTGTTTTTCTGTGTGTTTATAAGACCAAAGTTTGTTGGCATTTCATTTTGTTTAGTCTTTCAATCTCGTTACTCTTGTAGTCTATATTGGATGTTGTCTCTTCTTTCTCTGATGATGCCTTCTGTCTGCTGCTTTTTTTTTCTAACGACTATGTGCTTTGGGCTTTTATTTTTGTTTGTTATGCACTTACAGAAACATATTCATTCAAACTGAAAGTACAGAGATCAAGGGTCATTCTCAGAGCCACACAAAACAATGGGTAAAGCACAACATATTTGTAGGGTATCTGACAATTCAACAGAGACAACTACCTCAATAAGAGTAAGTTCATGGAACCCAGACTGATAGCTGGGAAACTAGCATAGGACTGTTTCAGACCCCCTAAACATTGATGTCAGTTTGGAGGTCTAGTAAATCTATGGGACCTCTGTTAGTGGATCATTATTTATCTCTAATACACAAATGGATTTTGGGAGCCCAGTCCACATACAGGAATATTCTCACAGCCTAGACACAGGGAGGGTCTGCTCCAAATGATGTGACAGACTTTGAAGATCCCCATGGAAGGCCTCCCCTTCCCTGGGGAGCAGAAAGAGGATGAGATATGGTGTTACTATGGGGATAGGAGAGGAGGCGGCGGGGGGGGTAGGGAACTGGTATTGACATATATGACAAGCTTGCTTCTAATTTCAATTAAAAAAGGAAGACAAGAAGTTGAAAGAGAAAAAAGTTTGGTTGAGTATTGTTTCTGGGACCAAGTGGAAAGGCAGGGGTACCATTTTTCTGAGACTTATGTCCTATTCAGAATGCAATACATATTTTTAAAACAATATTCCTTTGGATATAACTGAAACTGTGCGAATATGTTGGGAAACTTTCCCCCTTGTATCGTATTTCTATTTTTATTTGAAAAACTCTGGGGTTCATTCATGAAGAATCGCAGTGTTAACATAGAATGATACAAAGGTCATGCATTTTAAAATAAAAAATAAAGTTGTGTTAACTTGTGAAGTCAGGATATATTTTGTTCTATTTAATCTATGGATAAAAATCAAAGTGAAACACTGATTTAGTAGAAAGGATTTTCTGTATTTTTAACAAAGATTTTACAGAATAGCTTTTATGAAATTACTCTGAAACCACATAATGGGCAACCTTAAAGCACAGCCTTTGAAACATTTGATGTTAGTAGTTCAACAACGTCTGTCCATTACTGACAGATTTACAGGTTAACAAGTGGACTATTTGAATAAAATACTTTGCCTATGAAATCCTTCCTATTCCTTCTGTAGTTAAAAAATATAATCTTGACTTTATATTGACTTTATATACCAATAAGCTTCTCCCTTTTGGGATATCTCGTTTAATCTAAAAACAAACACTGTAATAAACCAGTTTTCTTATTGCATCATAGATTATATTAAGGATTGGCACTTGTAGCAATGCTATGTCTTTTATTCTGTGTCATTTACTGTTCTATGAAATTAACTGGTTATCCTTTCAGTTGAGTTAAGAAGCAGCTTAAAGTGTGCTTTGGCACTGTGTTATAGGCATGTTCTATAGCCTACCTGTTGATGTTGATGAATTGTGCACATATATTCTGTGTCTCTCACTTGCTAACTTTCTTGTTGACTGCTTTCATATCATTATTTTTTGACGGAGGAAAACAGTCTTTTAAACAATTCTCCCTTTTGCATTTATTACAAGAGATCTTCCTCTGAGACATTAATTGAAAGGTTTATTTTTATTTCATGTGCATGTATGTGCATCATATGTATGCATGTGTGTGCAGCACATGTGTATGGAACCTCTGGAACTGTCATAGCCACTGTATGACAACAAAAAGAAGTATATTTGATAATATGATTGAGGCCGCTGGAAACCATTGATGAACATTTTCTGGAAAAAAAAGGATACTCCAGAATAGCATTCTAGGATCCTACATATCCAAAGCATTTGTCAGTCTGGTAATTGGGATATTCTTCAAGATACAGTAAGAAATGATCTTACATTTTTAAGTGAGTGTTAAGCTTCGAACCAAGATTCAGAATGCCATGCTTGTAATTTGGCAAAAAATAAGTGGACTAAGGAGACCTTAGGAACAACAGACTTTTACCATGGAGCTGAGTCGAGAGGAAGGTCTGAAGGAGAAGCAAAGGAAATCAGTTGAAGTAGAGGACAATGAGTGCATCAATATTTTATTCCTTACAATTCAACCTCTTTACAATTTTAAACTCTGCAGCACATTATTTTAAGTACATTTGTCAAAATACCGTTTTTGAAAATGGTATTTCA